TGATAACCTAGAGATGCCAGCTGAATAATTTACTCAGCTATCTAAAATCTGAGGATCTTATCTACAGATTGCCTGAAATTTGCAGATTTCTGATAAGCTGCAAGCGTCTAAACACAACCAATTAGGATTTGGTTCCACCTTGTTTTTACCGAGGTGCCATCTATATAAGAAGCGTGTGGTTGCTTTCGCTACATGCTGTCTAACTCTAAACATGGTTATCTGGCTCCTCATCATTTAGCTGACGAAGTATCACATCAGTGATCATTAACTATCAAGATGGTCGCTGCAAGAACTTAAGCCTCCAAACCATCTAAGAATGGTCTTACAAAAATACTCCTAAATGACTGGTTCTATCACACGCTCACCTCATTTCATTATATATTACTGGTAATCAAGGTTATCCAGTTGTGGTCAGTTAACTGACGTTTCCGTCTGACCCCTATCAACTCGGGGAGATATTAGCTGAAAGGAAAAGATGTATATCCACCGCGTTCAAGATAGTTGAAAGTAATTGAGATCTATCACAACATAAAGTTGGTCACCCGGTAACAAGGGTTTGAAACACGTCTCCACTGCGGTCCACCTTAACCTCAGTTATTATCCTTGCACATCACAATAAGGATGCTATATTAGAAAATTGACCACCTACACTGCTAAGCTACAAGCTTACCAAAAGCAGATTACAGTTACTCTTTATTAACAGGGTCCGCGTAGTAGCTCATCATTGAAAAACACTATAGAGGGTCCTTGTGAATACTTAGACGCTGAAAAACTGCCGTCTGATGAAACACATTCTGTCAGGTAGAAAATTGTCAAATCGAGAAGAAATGCTGGGCAGCGAAAAATCATTATTGATGCTCAGCTGCACAACTTCAAGATAATTTTAAAGTAGGTACAAAAAACTAGTAAAAACCAAAAGTTCAGTGTGAGAAAAAACACATAGCTCATCAATCACTTGAGATTCAGTTTTTCAACTAGACCGTAAAGCTATGCCTACAGTTATTCCAGTCGTCAAATAAACGTTACTCAAATGGAAGCTTTATTTCAGGTTTATAAATCTCACGACGTCAGATATCACGTAATCCAGTTAAGCACTGGATTTCACAGTGAGAAAATCCATATCATAAAATCAGATCGAATTTCTACGCAAAAATCAGAGGCAGAATAGTTAGAAGGTGACTCCGGTACATCGACAGGATGAAAGCAATCTAGACCCAAGTATCTAAATCTTAAGAACTGTAATGAGTCGAAGAAATAACAAGGAAAATTTATTCGACAGTGACTACAACTCCTATAAGTGCCTTGGAGACAAGACAGCTATTACCAGTTAAGTACCTGAGAGGTGTTAGAATTCCTGGATTTATACAGTCTTTATAATGATGGTTACCTTTAGGACGTTATTCTGCCATTTAATGAGATTATGAGTTAGAGTATACAGAGCAATAACCAAGATTTTCCCTTAATTACTTACCTTAGTAAGGTCCATTATCGCATGCTTCACTAAATTGTTGTACTCCGCTATCACAACTGACCCCAATCGGCTGCTTTGACTTATATACGTAACCATTCAGTCATTATATGTTACTTCCTAGATTAAGCTTTTTTGCTTAATTGGGTAAACTGGATTTCTTAGCTCACAAATTGTCTCTTTCGGCAGATTTTCGGCCTTATATCCAACCCTAATTACAGCAATTTTATGAATCTTGGGTAGATTTTCAGATATCCCCTCTTTATATGGGGAATCACCGTCTTGTATTTCCTACTTACTAAGTTAGACAAAGAAAGAACTATCAGAATTTTACGCCGAAAACCATCTTGGAGGGGACAAGAAACAAACCTCTGCAAAGTTCTTTTTCTTCGACAAGAAATGAAATCCTAAGTAATAGGGATGTTCTCGAAGATCGCAGTCAACAGAGAAATGAGTAAACTCATAAATGTTCTCCAAGAAAATGATTATCCAGACAACAACCTGACTAAAATTTTCCCTAGGGAGCATAGAAGACCCATGTTAAAACAACTCTAGTGCCAACCTTTGTAAGTGGACTTATCTTATCTCCATGGCTGAAAGATAAGATTCCTCATATATGCATTGTTAAACTCAACTGCTAATGTCGAGCACATTATCTTAGTAACACTATGATGACTGCATCACAGAGTGCCAATAAGCCTGTATCGATTTGACTGATGAATGGCTACAAAACGAAAGACTGTCAATACCCCCGTGCAAACATATCTAGTTGATAGTGATTATATAATGCACAGAATTCCCATTTTTGAATGATTCCTAAAATACCTAACCATCTAGTGCAGTTGGCAAGAGTTTATCTTTTATAAACTGACAACTCTACATGCAAGAGTAGGTAGTAAATCCACTTGGCTTTCCGTATCCCTCTGAGAACTTGCGGAAGTCATATAGTTTAATTTCGGAACTGACTTATGATCGGTTTCAAAGTCGGTTTCATCGTGAATCAACATCGGCCAGGGAACCACTGTAAAAGAGTGAGCACTTGACATCTGTTCCGTCATGGTTTGTGACTCATTAGTACTTCTCCAAGGCTTTCAATGGTTCTCTGGTTGAAATCAACGTGATGAAAAATCTTCGGGAAGCAATCGTTCCCCCCCTCCCTCCGACAAACTTCCAGAGTGAGTGCATTCTTAACATATAGTCTTCATTTTTTTAAACTTTCCTTCTCAGTTTTGAGCTGCATCGAAAACTTGGTATTTACAACTGCATTCCTTTTAACCGGTAAATTCTACTCCTGTTTTTAACTGTGACAAATGTCTTCCCATGTGTGTTAACTCCTGTATTTACAGGTTTCTCAGCTCTTGTAAAACAATTTGTTCCACGATTTCTGATCGCCAGACTGGTCAACTATACAAACTGTAGACACTTTCGTCATATTCAGTCGTAGGTAAATGTAAGCGGACCAGTGGGACTACCTGTAGCAGCCTAAACTTCGATAGGTGCAGCGGCTTTCAGATCTGAGACTTACTGACTCTGAAAGCTGACTTCTTATCACTGCACACAGAGTACATAAAACTTTAGAAATATCTGAATAAGCCAATCGCTTTTGTAAACAGAAACAAGTATATGACATGCGTACACGGATAGGTCATCAAGAATAAACGGAAAAGGCAACAGCACATCACTAAACATCGAAAAATAGGATGATATGGTGTTTACGCAACAAAAATCAAACTATGCATTTACACTTATGGAGTCTACATATCTTAGACTAAGTTTCAAAGGTAATATTGCCTCGGATATCCTAACACATCGATTAAGTAGATCAGTCCAACGGACATCCAGTGTAGCGAAACTTTTTGTTAGTTTCCCGACCAAACTATTACTGATACTGCGAACCAAGGATAGGCCACCTATGATGGCCACTTCAATGTGGATTTATGAGTTCAATTAGTCCTGTGGAGCTAGTTACATAGGCCGTACTCAAAGGGCTCTATCCATACGCATTCATGAACACTTGCCATCTTGGTTAGCGAAAGGAATGACAAAGGGCATCAACAGTGCAATCCTCTCACACCTAGTAGATACCAGAAATCAGATTAAGGTAGATCATGCCTTTTCTGTGATATACCGTGTCTCTTGCAATCTCCCTAAAGGTGCATGACTTCACATCTTATCCATGGCCGAAACCATAGGGAACAACGCAAGAAAACCGGACCTATGTGTTCAAAATAAATATGTACATCCACTTTATTTATCACACTAGGGTCGATACGTTCTTCATAATTTTTCCTACCACAAATTGCACATTCTAACCTCTCACCCCCTTTCTTTTATATTATCATTACATTGATAAACATTCATTTCCTTATTATTAGTTTTACGCCCTTCTTTATTCATAACACAACTGGTAATCATTTTCAACCATGACGTAATACTTCACATTTGTGATTCTCTACTTCGTTGTAGTAATCATATGATTTTCATTCCACTTGAATACAACTCACGACTTCGTAATTATTATTTGACCCTTATTATTAAATAAACGCACGCACACATATTCATGCCCCTCAAAAAAATGTATATAAATGAATCATTATCTGTAGAATTTGTCTCCTCATTTCATAATTGTTCTGTCAATGGTGGTTTCAATGGACAATTAACACACTAGACTGATTTATACTGAGTGATGATTGAAGTTGAAATGAAAATTTGGACTGCAACCTGACTCGAACCAGTTACCACACTAAACTGATAACAATTCCACCATTCCGTTCTATTTGATCCCCCTCCATTCACTCATTAATACTGAATGTACTTCATGCTTCATTTTAGCTATTGCATTTTACATATTCTCATGGATTTATAACTGTAGAGCCTGAAGGAGAAGTTAACGAAAACAATTGTTCACTCAAATTATTCTTTTTCTACATAATATTTACATATTCATATATATATGCACTAAGTGAAAACAATTAATTACACAACAGTTATTCTTTTTTACTTTCACACATGTATGTACATAATACGTGTAATCAGGAGAAATGTACCAGGGGACGGTTACACCAATTTCAGTCATGTAACACTATCAGAGTTGATTACCATTGGAAGACAATGGAACTTTAATTATGCTTCATATATATATAGAATATATAGAAAATAAACTAACTTCTGAATTCTTCATTACTGCACTGAAGCATAAAACAAGTGTAATTGAAAGTTGAATCGAATAACAATACAGCCAATGATTGTATGGGATGGCAAGAAAAATAAATAATTTTTTTGAATAAAATCTATATTGAAAGCGTTGTATGACGTGGTGGATTCAGTGCAAAATTAACAAACACCACATACTACACACAATGCTCAATATGTCTTGCTGGTGAACGCTACTCACTAGTACCTCAGTAGTATTCAGTATTATTCAGAAATAATAAATCTATTGGTTAGTTTCATTGTTCATCGCTGGGAGAAAACAATTGTAATCTTCTTAAAAATATGATAAAAAGAAAAGAATATCGAGAAAAACAACTAACTAGTCTTCCAAATTTTGTACAGTGTTTTGAATCTCGTTCAACCATTGAATCACACGATTATGTGAGGCATACCAGATGTCAGTGAATTCTAAATTAAACATCTGTTCTAAATGATCTACTGTTTTTAAAAAACTCTTATTATCATTTTTATCATTATTATTATTATTATTATTATTATTATCATCTTCATCATCATGGCCTGAATTGTTATCATCCTCTAATGAATACTGTTGATTGGGGTTCAGTACTTGACACTTCTTACATTCTTCTGCAGAGTTCATAGCTTCATTTGAAGGAGATTTTTGATTTGTTGAGAACTGTTGACTTCCATGGAAATGATGGTGGTGGTGATGATGATGATGGTGATGATGATAAAGATGATGGTGATAATGGTGATGATGATGTGGATACTTATCACGGAAATGTGGTAGATTTTCATGATCAATTTGCAGTGAATCAATCTTTTCTTTGACTTCAGAGATTACTGCATCACTGAAGGGTTCTTGTTGTTCTTCTTCTTCAGTTTCTTCTCTCATCAGTTCTTCATTTACTGAACTATTTTGTTTCTCTATATTCTGATGTGGATTGCGATTATGTAGATGATGATAATGGTGGTGGTGATGATGAGAATAATTTCTGTGATGAGCATAATCTGGCTCTTGATGATGTACAGAGAAATCAACATCTGATAATCTTATAGTAAATTTATTCGCTTTCCTATCAGTCGCTGGTGACTGAGATGAACACGTTTTTAACCATGTACTCCATGTAGAATCATCATTTGTTGAATCGATATTCGATGCTAGCGGGATACTGTCAGATGATAATCCACTAATACCAGAAAGAGGTAGAATATCTGTGTTCAAAGAGTGATCAAGCCACAATAAAGATGGTTGATTCAGCATAGTTGACTGCATTTTCATTATGAATTCAGGATTCATAACTTCGTCACCGCGTAAATCATCCACTAAATAAGAATATCCAACTGACTGCTGTTGTCCTTGATATTTAGTCTTTTCTTTATCGAAGTGAACGAAGTTACTTTCCAAATTGTAGTTTTCATTATCGGTTAACGAGTCATGCTGGAGTTGAAATTCCATTGCCCTTAATATACTTGTTTCATTGTCACTTTCATCATGTGATGTGCTTACAACATTCACAAACAGATTTCTGTCTCAGACACTTGAACAAACAAAGCAAACATTAGTTGCAGAAACCGCAGTAAACAGAATCGCCTAGAATAAAATCTATGAAAAGAATTTATTGGAACTTTCAGATTCCAAGCTATTCGTTATTAACATAAAGTTAAAAAGAGAGAGAAAATTTGTAATTTCCAATCACAAATGAAATACGCTCCACCAATGAAATACACACCAATGCTTAGTATGAAGGCCACAAGATTTAATAATTAACCAATAAAAATGCAGAAGGAGCAGTCCGTAACATATCAAGACAGCTTTCTGCTATGCTTTTAAGCACTAACGTTCTCTACAACACAAGTGGTTAGTTTGTGATTCTCCATGCACTGTCACCCACAGGAAAGTTACATTTTAACAGCAGTAGAGTAACTCTGAGCTTTGTGAATATAATAAATATTTTCATCTCTAATTTTTTTCCTCTGCTAGTTTTCTCAGTAACACCATGGATGCATTTCTCAAGGTGTTTCAATAAGTTATGCGTTCTCTGTAATACGGACTGTTTAAAGCAAACTTCAGTGTGTTGTAACATCTTGTAATGACCTCCATAATCCATTTGATAATACATGCGTCGATAATTAGAACTTTGATGTTTTTGCTTGAGAATTGCCGTCGTTGATTGAATCAAATTGATCAACCATTATTGGCATATGAGCTCCTAAGTGAACGCCGCGATATTGTCGGTATTTTCAAATTTTATGTTAATGATGGACAGTGTTTAGCGGCGAACTACAGGAAGTGCGCCTCGTTCTATTTGGGACTCTTCAGCTGAGGGATGTTATTCCCGCTGGGACTCAAACCAAGGACCAATTATTTCAAACGTGGGAGCGCTATCTACTAGGCCACTGAGTCACGATCGTCTGTATACGATGCGTACAGTGTAGTCCTTAATACTATAGCTGATGAGTCTCAAACAGAATGAAATGTGCATACTGGATCCCACTGCTAGCTATTATGCACCTTTCTTTTCAAAATCACATTTGTTTGTAGCGGGTTTTTTCAAATAATTTTAATAATAATCAATTGATTTTAAACAATGTTTTGTCACATTTCGCAATTCTCAACATGTCGCATGACAAGACAGAGGTACGCCTCAACAACATTTCGAATAGTGTTAATCATAACAATTCAATCCTGTAAATAATATTAGTAAGGAGGATAGTTATAGATGAATGGTTCGTGTATCGAAAAGATGGATTATTTACTGTTACGATGTTGTTAGGTGAGTTCTGTTCTAAAACCTTTTTTTCACAAAAGATGCGTTCTATATAAGGTGCAGTAGAATTTTTGCATTTAGCTGTATGAGGATAAAGTCTAATGTGATTTATTTTTTTCCTCTCCACTTTCTTCACATTGAGATGAAGTCGATATGATTTTCAGTATAGTGTGTACATCTGGTGAAGTTCATGTCGCTGACTTGTGAATATCATTGTGTTCGTACACACCGTCTTCAATCACCAAATCATTGAATGCACAGAAATCTGCATACAGTTTCCCATTCTCATTCACTTCACCAAGTGCTTCTCGACCCATGATCACTTCTCTTCCTGTGTGGTCTTCTCCCAGGTTGGCATTCATGTCAGCCTACGCATTAGAATTTGCATGTCGCCAACTGCAGTGGGGTCTTGTCCATTACTGATTGCAGTTGTCTGTAGAATTCCTCCTTCCTCTCTTCATCTGCATTATTTGTGGGTGCGTAGTGTGGTGTAGTGTAGTGTAGTGTCGCGTAGCATTGTATGATTGTGACTTTCCTTCCTTTCGAGTTGAATCCATCTTGCTGTCAACATCCTGATCTTGGAGGAGATTGTTTCCCACTGGATGACAGAGAGAGAGAGAGAGTGAGTGAAAGAGAGAGAGAGCCTCCGATGCTGCTGGGGACATCATGATGGTCACTTGAAAACTCAGTGTGTTCGTGGTTGTTGTGAGGATGACAATATCGGAGTAGAATATTGACTCCTCTCCAGTTGGCAGTTGGGAGAGTCCATTTCCATTCCATATACTTTCGCAGATTCATAACAATTTCTATGCTATGCTATACATTCGCATCTTCTTGTCAATCTGGTCAGCCTTGCTAGGTTCATACATGGTGTGGATATTCCATATATGCATGTTTACTTTTGCTTTCGTCGAGAGAAGACACATTGACCAATTGGCTTCCATAAGGCTTTCATCAATTGGCGTCATTTCGTCTCTCCGATTACAGAGAGTAATAAGTTTGTTTTTGTGATTTTATTGGTGCTTTGATGTTTGTTTAGCTGTTGGATTGGTTTTGTGGGTTAGGGTTGCTAGCCGTATGTCCAACCTTCCCTCTTTATCTGGGCTTGAAGGGGTTAGTAACTGGTGTAGTAGTTGCCTAGGCGAGGTTATTCGGTGATGAATACTACATTAAAAATAAAATCCTTATAAACATGTCCCTACTCATGAAGATTTTTTCACTATACGATCCGTATGTCGGGACAAATTCTGAGTTAGCTCACGACACTCATGAAAGTTTTGTCTAAAACTTCACTGAATATATCCGAGTCTGTTTTTCCGACACACTTATCAAACAAAGTATGCTGTCCTGTAAATGGTATCTGTACATGACTTTCCTTTGCCATACACTACAGGCAGAGCACGCACAAAAGAGTGGTTGGAATTAGACGGTGGACTCCGTTTATTGACTTCTCAATTCTTCTTCGCAGTTGCAAAGTAATAGGTTGAAATAATTTCAAGAAAGCGCGGGATTAAATAATACAACTTTAGAGAACATAACTGAGTGATTAAAACAACATAAAAAGCGATAATTTTATGCTACACGTTCCATGGGAAAATTAGTTAGCAGCTTTTTTTAAAACAGATAGGCATCAGCTAGAAATCTAGCAAATTGTGGCAACAACAAACAAATCTCCCTTGGTAGTTTATGACACCTCAACAATGTACACTCACGACTATCATTTCCTTAAGGTGAGCACATTGCTATTTAGCCAATGGGTTGAAATCCTGTAGTCCACTTTGTCAACTTATGTCAACAGCTCGACAACTATCCAATGTAATTGGCAGGCAGTCATCCTGGAATTCGATTTCATCGACACGATAGGTCACAACCTACTATTAAAAATGAGGGAGCCAACAAGAACATTAAAATTGTTTGAATTGTTATATTGTTGGACAGAACGGTCGGCGAGACATTTTTAGCAGGTAGTTGTTGGAGTCCATTGCGATGACAGTCCTAGAATACTAAAAATGGCATAATTCTAGGAAATGATCAGGAATGTGAGAGCAATAAGAAAGTTTCGAATTGGCTTATGACCGTTTGGCATGTTATCAATTTTTTTTTCAATTTTGAGTTGATATCTTGCTGTCACCTTTTATTGATGATTTATCACTATCTTTTAGAAGACTGTAGAAGTTAGATACTACTTCTGAACAACTTAAGTAGTAGGAAACCAATTAGACTGATCCGTAGATTTTGGCCCGATGCTCTACCAACTGGGTTATAAGGTTCCACTGCTAAAGTAAAATAAAATCCGGTCACCAATCGGACTTCATAGCTCAGTTGGTAGAGCATCGGACCGGAAATCCGGTGGTCACTGGCTTGAGTCCAGACCCGGTCCGAATTTTCATTTCATCTTCAATCATTACCCAATATAAATTCCATTTTAGTTAAGCCATTGTATGTACTGCAGACTGAAACACTACTAGTCACTGGGTTACGTTTCAGACACAGTCTATGGCCTATAGTCACACCAAGGTAACTGCACAACTTTGAGACATGGCTTTTATACTTCTAGTTCCACCCACTTCCCTGTGATACTGGTAAGGGCGGGTTTGTAGTCATTCCTGTTGTATGTTGATTGATGCTGATTCGACAGACAAAGATTCAGCTATCGACCTCTTCCTCCACTCCACTGAGCAAATGGTAAGTATTGCTCCTCTGTCATATCCTATCCTGCGACTGTATGTGATTGCATGCATAGCAATGCTCAAACCTTTTTCTAGATTCCTTATCTTGCTAGGATCCACCAATTTTGATTTGACAAGGTGTTTTTGCTTGGATAGCCTGACTCTGGTCAACTGCTGTGACATTTGTATTTGACCTCGCTGTCGTCACAAGGGATTTCATAGACTATGTTATTCTGCCAAACTGGATCGAGGGGATATTCTAATCTACAAAGCTTATTTCTAGGTGAGTCTGTAGATCTGTATGCTATTCTAGCTCCAGCCTCATTGAGAATCCTGCGTAGAATTCTAGGGGTCCCTTCTTTGTATGTTAATACTATAGAAGTTTCGAATTCTCTCTTCAAGACATCACTTTATTACTACCATCATTAACACCTATGTTACCAATGCTAATCATTTTTCTTACAATTCCTATGGGGTTTAATAGTTAATTTAGGAGGGTCCTTAATACTAAGTAAGGTGTCTTTAATGTATCTGATTTCCTGTCTTAGATCTTCTGTTTCACCAGTAAATTTTATATCCCTGTTTCTTAGACATTTTAATCAGCCAAATTTAATTGACAGACTGTGAGACGACTTGAAGTCCGAGTGGCAATTCGAGTGTAAAGGTTGCCTATGGACACTAGTGTCTAAACTCCCGTCTTGTTTTTATTTTATTCTGCAATCCAACATTGCTAATTCCCCTTCACCATTTTCTAACTCATAGGTAATAAATTAACTAAAATGAAATTCAGGTACATGCAGTCCTAAGTAAGAAGAAAGAGTACTGCTAGCCATCACCAGGAAAAATAACACCAAAATATAGTTGCATTCAACATGAACAGAGATCAGATTTCCGCTGACTATACTCTGAATATATAGTGGACAGTCACTCGCGATATAAAACCACTCTATATTTCTTGCATTAGCCCGTCGTTGATTGAACCGAACTGATTGGTCACTATTGCTATCACTATAGTATCA